CGCACTTAATAAAAAATGATTGCCGCCCCTTCGCTTTATTAAAAAAATATTAAATTCTTGGATTAAAGGGAAATTGGATAAAAGTTTTGAGCTCACGTAATTGGCGATTGAGTAAATGCAAGTACTATAAAGCACTGAGGGATGTAAGCTTTTATCACGTCATTTTAAATTAATTTTCGTACCACTGTCCTCTTATCTTGAAATTTGTACCTCCGTAACATAAAATTTAAGCTGAATTTTAATCGGTTCTACTTCCAAGGATTTGGAAGCCTTTCGTAAAATTTGTGAAGCAACCTTTAGGTTAGGTTAAGTAACAGAATGAATGGCGAAGGAATTGCTGGACTTATTCGGCGAAAATTCAGTGATGTAAGATGGAACTATCTTAATAACTTGGATACAAATGCAGTAATTGAGAAAGTTATAGTACAAACTGGTAGGCAAATGGGTACCAAATATGCCATCTTCAGAGGGAAATTAAACTACAAGACGGGCAATCCGCTTGGTAACACCTCAACCATCATATATAAGCCAAACTTTTGGAAAGGATTAGCAGCTGGTTGGCTGGCTTGTGATGTAAAATGACTTTAGATGCAAAATGTATTGTTTTAAAAAGCAGACTATTGATGATTTTGTATCCCGTATTCCCGAGGCATGCAAATCAGCACTTCATTCACAGAAGACCGTGCTTAGTTTGCGTAGGCGTGTACAGAGTGGATGCCAACTGCTATCCTTTACTATGAATTATTTGCTATTTAAAGAAAAAAGAAGTGCGATCCTATCTACGTATTCAGTGCATTTTGGCGCGACCAAAAGGTCGGTAAGATAAACCTCTAGAGAAATTAGATGGGTTAGTGAACCAAATCGAAGAAATTTAAATTCGTACACTGCTGAGACCTAGTAACACCTTACATATCACACCGCATATCTCAAACCTCACACGCTACAACTAATAAGGCCATAAAAGTACCATATTAGAAAACGTTCCCTCTGCAGAATGGAAAAGGAGACATGAGGAAGGCACCATC